AACAATCCAACTGGAATCCATCTTTGGAATGTAATGAACGAATAATCTTGAAATTTCTGGATTATCTCTATAGTCCAACGGGCAGGAAAGCTAAACTTGATCTTGGAGAAACCGTTCTGAGAGGTCGAATGAAGCGCATGGCAGACCTGGATAACATCGAAGATGAAGAGACAGCTCGGACAAAGGTCAAACATTCTTACTCCTGACGTAAAGATTTTCCAATTTGTAATGTTTATGTTACAATTACATATATTGCAATTTGGATATGATCTAAGAGTATTGTGTTTGTTATTTTTTTCAGGGTGAGATTTCAAAGTCAGCTCTTGATGAATCAGAGATGTATGGTTCCGTAGAGCCCATACAACCATTTTTTATGTCTGTACATATATCACAAGAAGTTGAAAAGTGGGGAGCGAAGGTTGAAGTCAAGAGTATGGATGCAAAAAAACAAAATCTTCTCTTGGAGTGGGGAGCGAAGTATACGGTAGACGAACTTAATACGACAGACGCCTCATATAAGATCCGTGTCAGCACACTTGAAAACAAAGGATCGGTAAAATGGATTGTTGCTGCCAACAAGTGGTGGAATAAAGTTGAACTGTTTGCAACAGCGATGTCTCTTGTTAAGGATCTTAGCAAAGGACCAGAACGTGATCGCGGCGGGAAACGTGCAAGTAAGATCGTTCCCAAGCATTTTCTTTGAGCTTTAATTTTAACTGAAATATGTAGTATCAAAATGATAATATCTGCGATTGGGTTGCTGTTATTAAAGATAGGAGAACTCGTTCTTCAGATGGTAAGATGGATGTAGGCGTCAAGAAAAAGTCACATGGTGAGAGGACACGACGTGCTAACATATGGCGATGAGTTGAAAGTCGTACGTGGACTTCGATACTGGTTGGTTTCACTTACAAAAGTCTTCAATGGCAATTTTCAGACCTGTTTTTTTTTCCACTCTACCTAGATAGGCTCCAATGTGGCTCGAAAGAAGTGGTATGGGGTTTTTTCTGCTCATTTTTTCCTTGTAGTTGGTGTACTTGTCCTACTTTCGAAGAGGAAGCGGATAATTATATGTATTTTGAATCGGTGTTTCAGATCGCTATGCTTTTGCTTCAGTAACCATGGTAGTGTAGTTGCTTCATTTTGGAACTCGAAATCTGCTGATGTCAGTCTGAACTGGATCCTTAACGTATTCATAAAATCACCGTTCTTGGATTCTGGGACGGTAGATCAGTATCTGATTATAATTTTGCTTTTTCTGATACAACTTTGAGGGTGCCAACGAAGGATGGAAGTGCGATGACAAGTCCTCATGCATCCCTTGCAATTGCAAATGAGAGAAAACACCTCCAAATTATGCTGTTTATATTCCACGAAGCAGCAATGCACGAAGCAATCCACAAAGCAGCAATGCGTCGGAAATTAATGTTTGATGAAAACATTTAAAGCTTGTTCATCCTTTGCCATCTATTTGGCCTAGTTTTTGTATGTGTTTCTGTTAGTTAAGTTCTTTTACCTCAATTTTTGACTGAATTATGTATGTCTTGTATTGCATATCTTGTACTTTCAGCTTGTTCCATGCCCTGCGCTCCAGGATCTTGTCACTTACTTTTAGTACGTATCTCCAGTCCTTTTCCGAACATGTAGCTGAAGCTCATGGCCTGTGCTCGATACATGCATCCCTCCCGCTAAACGTTATTTGAGTTTAGTGACTTGCATCCGCTGTGTATTTCCAATTGTAAACTGAATGCCAAGATAGTTCTAGTTCTGATAGAGTATGGAGAGTCTCACAAACAGTGCGAGAAGAGGAGCCGTGCTGAGCTTAAAAAGGTGAAGGTGGTACGTTCAGTCGACTGAGGATGATGAGCTGTAGCGAAAGTTTTGCAGATCATGTATGCAGTGGCTTTAGGACGCACTCATCACTTTCTGGAAGTTTGACCGTGCTTTCAGTTGACAGTTTGCAGCTTTAGAGTTTTAGTATCGGAACAAAATTGGAACAGAGCTACATCGTACACTGCACATTCACTTTTCTGTACACTCGGATTTTTCTACAGTCTCAAAATTATTTGAATTATGAATTTGAAGCCTTGAAGGCTAATTTTGAATTTTTTTGTATTGTGAGATGTCAGCGTGGTTTTTTAGTACCAGTTCGGTTTATGGAAGCTGTAAGTTAGGAGATAGTCAATCTACATGGTGGCACACAAGTTGAAAGCAAAAATATAGGGTCACATGAAAGAGAGAGAAACATACTCAACAAATCTAGCTCAATGATAAGAGATACAAAGAAAAGGAATCGACACTACCTTCTCCATAAAAAGTCATTTCTTGTTCAAACAATATCCCCCGCCTAATTATGTGTGTTTATATTCCTACAGAACTCTCATGACGAAAACAAGAAGACGTATACAGTACTTTTGTCAGAATTTGGAGATTTATTCTCGAACTCAATGTAGGATCACACTAAACCCTACATCACAGTATCCTGTGTATATCTGACAACATAAATAAAGTCAGCAGAAGCATCTGCTGTAAGATTTTTGGTCATAGGTGTGTTCTGTGAACTTACTGCATGCTTAAGTGAATTAAGTTGGACCTTGGACAGTAAGTATGGAGAGTAGTGAGAACTGATTCGACAGAGGTATGTAATAGCCAAAAGTGTGGCGAGTTCCAAAGACAATTCTTGTCTCATCCGACAGAAGTTGCCAGTTATTGAAGCCTTCATTGGTCTGGACCTTTAGTCGCATTGATTCATAATTCATCTCACAAAATGTCATATAATTGCTTCTGTTATCTGACTTTCCTCATTGCAAAATGCTCATTTCTAGGCAAGATGGACGATTATAATCAGTCAGGTCCTGAGCTATCTACATCCAGCAAAAACTCAAACTATCTCGAAACTGCAGTTGTAAATATGCTAAACGATTATATGCTCTAATATGTGACTATGTTACCAATTATGCAAGTCACACAACCATCTGAGAGCTTATAGGTGCACTAGACGTCGGCATAGGTGACAAAGACAACATTCTGATAGTCACACAAAACTTTAAGTGAATCTACTTCCAGATTGGACATGCCTATCAGAGGTCTCACACTGTAAGTTTCAGTGCACATCGAAGAGTTCCAAATCAAATTGTTCTGAACCTTTAGTGTTCAGATACAGATATCTGACAGATACAGGTAGAAAAGTGTTCAAGATAGAACTATTTACTGTGTATTCTTCACACGACTCGCTTAGTTGCACAAACTTTTACAAATGGCCGTACTATACAATATGTTATCACCGTTTGATTACAAATATTACAGTTTGAACACTAGGGATTCCATATGAGCTATCCCTCTTGCGGTTCAGTTTTAGTTTTTAGTTCCCGCAACGTTCCAAGACACTACCGCGATCATTGTTACGGCGTAGATCATTGCAACGCAATAGATACAACGTTGCAGCCTCTACAGTGACGGCCTCTCTTCTACATGGTTGTTGGAATTTCATCCGGTTGAGGGCATCTACATGGTTGCCGGAATGTATGGTCCGCCGACCCTCCCCGCAAAGTGTTCTTATAGTCCATCGTTAGATCCGTCCGCCGGAAAGTGGAGCGATCTAGTTCAGTCACTTTGATGCTCCACCGGAAAATTGAGTGCCAATGAAAAACCTGCCCGGTTAGCCTGCCCGCACATTCTTCCATCTTTGGTCCAAAAGAGTAGAGTTGCAGCGAAAAGAAGAACTTCCGTCACGGGTCACTGCAGGATGACACCTGCCTGGGTCTATGAAGGCCCTATAGGGGCTATGTATAAGTTTGTGCAGCTAAACCCGTCCTTGCTTTAGCTACGTTTTGTATGGTTGTTGAACTACAGCTAGATACAATTTAATAATTGTGTAGGTGTATATGATTTCATAATTGTATTTTTTGTCCGTAGATGTGTTGTCGATGTCATGACCAGCTGTTGACTTCATCTGTAGTTAATTTGGCACTCACCTCTTCCTCTTCTCTAGGTTGATTGTGGTTTCCACATTAGCAGCATATACCATGTCTGCTCTGCCTCCTTAGATTTCAACAAAGTAGGTTTGCAACAAATTGAGACAAATGTCAAGCGAGAATAAGTGGTTCACCCCTTTTTCTTCCACTTTTACCACTAAACTGTATTGTTTGTGTGTGTAAAATCCTACTCACCTCTTCCTCTTCTCTAGGTTGATTGTGGTTTCCACATTAGCAGCATATACCATGTCTGCTCTGCCTCCTTAGATTTCAACAAAGTAGGTTTGCAACAAATTGAGACAAATGTCAAGCGAGAATAAGTGGTTCACCCCTTTTTCTTCCACTTTTACCACTAAACTATATTGTTTGTGTGTGTGTATATATATCCAATTACATCCCTAATGTGTATTATCTCCAAATCTCAATTTACATTACCATACGTGACTGTTATAGCCACAGGCTGTACAATTATATCTAAATTCATTTTTCTGTTTGACTACACATTTTCTACTTTTCGCTATTCCTTATCTCTTCATGAGGGATGTGAAGTCTAATGATCATACACAAATACCGTGTCAATTGAAAGACAAATAGTGCAGTCTGATTTAGAAGGGTTACAAATCAAGAAATGATGAAGTTTTTAGTTCTCTCTAAAGAAATGGGGTAACTGTTACATAACTATCAACCGTTAACCAGGTTTTTCTGTTTAGATTATTTGATGAACATGAGAATATCGGCTGATAATTACGACGTTTGTAACACTCGTATTTTTGTCATTCCATCCAGATAGTCTCCTTCTTTAGCCAGTATGTGTAACCTATCAGACGGTGCAAACTTACTTCATATAAATACACATGTTTCACGTTTTATAAGAAATTCTGACAATAACGTCATCAGCTGTAAACTATAAGATGAAAGTATCGTGAGATATATACTGACATGTGACGTAGTCAGGAACATATGATGTTGGCAAGTTAGAAAAAGCAAGCAATTTTCCATTCTGCTCACTTTGAAACTGATACATTGTCTATAACAGTCGTGGAAAGACATGCCATTGGTTCTTTCCTTCAAATTTTATTCACAGATGTTAATGTCGCGTCCACATTTTCATGGACGTATGGCAGATGAGAACACCTGCAAATCAGTACTATAAATCCTATTCTCTCCTGTGCTTTACTACGTTTTCTCTTCGAACGTATATTACATCTATTTCATCTTCTTTTTCAGCACGGCCCTTTGTTTCAAGCTCTTCTCCACGTATTCGAAGAAGCTCCCATCATAAATACCGCGAGTTGCTTCCTTAGTCAACCATCCGGCCTCGTCTTTGGCCAGCCAGTAAGTGAAACCCCATTCAAACTTGTTTGCAAACCTGAGACACAACTGAAAGATAAATCGCTTTTCTAAAAGCATCTGATCCAGCACAATACTGTCATTTGCATCTACCACCATTTCACGGGTCATTGTCAGTTCAAGTAGCGGCGGAATGCCAATACGACACTTCATCTAATACAATCGTCACTTCAGCAGCACACAAATGTATTCGTCAACATCAGAGTTTCTTTAACGTACCAGCCAAAGGGGTCCACAGCATTGCGCATTGCTTCAGACATTTGCAGAAGCTCTCGGAAGTTCATTCTATCAGGATAGGTCTTGGCGTACTTAGACCATATTTCTTCAAATTTCGATGGGACGAACCTGATAACCACACCACGTGCTCAGCTTGTACGGTTGCTAGACACATTTTTAATTACAAGTCATATGAAAGAAACTGCTAAGAAAAAATTCTAAATAGAAATGGTTGATGTTCGAATTGCTTTGATATATGCTTTGAAAGAGAATTTCACAGCGGATTACGTACCTTCCCTCCGTATCATAGACTTCTGAATCACTACCGTGCTTGGCTTTGTGGATGTTCTTGATGTAGATAGGGAACAGCAAACTCGGAATCCAGCCCTGTCATGTAAGCACGAGCAAAATCAGAAAAAGAACTCGGACATCCCATCTATTCGTCTGTATATATTGCTGAGTATAATGTTAATAATATTGCATAAATCACACATTTTATTCATCTGCTTTGAGACGATCGAGTGCTTAAGCTGCTCTGGAGCAAAAAATTCATTACAATTGCTGCAACTATCAAGATCAGTACGTGTCGAAAACTTACAGGAAGTGTAGGATAACTGAATGCTCCGTTGATTACGAGCATGGCTAGGAACGAAATGAATGGGTTGAATCCTATCAGCCTGAAACCTGTGGCAGCAGCCAAAAGTATGACCAACGTATATCCTCGAAGTTCTTGAAGGTGAGACTTGTAGTAAATAACAGTGATGAGAGCTACCGGCCTATATGATATCCTTTCAAATTGCAGATTATTGACATTACTTACCCTTGTAAGTTTCCCACGGATAAATTATCCCGTCGTTGTTGAGATCGAAGTAGGCAACATGCTGCTGCATTACTGTGTAGTTCTGGTTATTGTGGTTCAAAGTTCCTTTGGGATGCTCGCTGTCAACAGCTTCCAAGGCTCGAGGCAGGTCTGCATTCCAACCACATGTAAAGAAAGATACTTAAGACAGCCGTCAAACGTCTTGAATGAACAAGTTCAGGTATCACTTCAAAATACCTCATCGCATCCAAGCATGACTGTCTCCCAGTTAAGAACACATGTATAATATTAGAAGTATTGAACATACTTTATAAAACTGAAGCCCAATCAAGTGGTTAGCAGCGCGATACACTTCTTGAACAGGAATATTAGCAATCTATTACACCGAACTTTCCTGCAACTATCTGCGGGCTTAGGATCCAAATGAACGAGTCGAGTTGAGGCATGACTGTACAAGGCTTCTCGAACTTAAGATCCGTAGGAACAGGTCGCTGTGATGTCACAGGAGCCCTCTCCGTTTTCGTTTCGAGAACATCATGCGCACCGCCGCCCTTGGCCATGATTGTAGCCGACTGTCGTCAATAGGAAAAACTGCGCGGTCGTTGGTTCGAAGGGAAGCTGCAAATTCTATCACAGTCACGTTGCAAGGGTTCAACAATTTACGTCGCCTCGCTTGAATGGAAATGAGTGGCAGTGAATATTTGATCGAGCACCCGTTCTTGCACTCCCGCCTCGACGTCGTATTTAAGGTGTTGTGCCCAGCAGCGGCAGCAAGCGTCCAAAGGCGATGCGCAAAGGCGTCCAGAGTCCGGACTCCGAATGCGCGGTGCATGGAGAAGCAAGAGGTGACCGAGAATTCGACCTGCTTGCGGCGGTGACCTGTTGGCCACGGGGCGGAGGTGCATGGTGGACACATTGCTGGCTTGAATTTCAAGCCACGTGGATCCGAGATTGCGTCCACCTGCCCATTCACGTCTGCTCGACACACGACCGAAGTGAGCTTCTCATCATCACTTCTCGCGATCTGCCCTGCCAGACGACCGCTGTCGGGACGCTTTTCGGGCACTTCATGTTCAGTTCACCTCGCGGGCTCTACGATGTAAAGCCGTAAAGCTTCTGTCTGCCGTAAAGCTGCCCTCCTTTGCCATTGACTTATCTCAGCACGAAACTGAGGAAATGTACCGATCGATTCGCTGACCGTGTCAACAGCGCTTCAGCTTTTGTCACTACGTATCCATACCAGTCGAGCCAGTTCGAAAACCTCCGATCACGCACAATGTCGGAAAGCTCACCTCGTCAATTGCTGGAAATTCTGCTATCGTGTATACTGTTGTCGTAGAAACGATACTAGCATTGGTCGAGATCATCAATGTAGGGAGTAAATCGAGAGGTATATGGATGATTTTAAACTGATAACATGAGGCTAGACCCAATATCATCTCAATCAGAAACATGTAACAGTGAGAAGTAACGGTCTATGTTAAAAATCATCGGGCCAAATGATTAAATCTACTTGATAGATATCTTGAGAACAATGATAACATCTTGTCTAAAATGAGAATTACAATGTATCGTGACAACACTCTATTACGAACGTAGCAAAGTGTATGTATATTTGACTCCACAGCTAGACTAACAAAGGGGCCCAAATTCTCCGCATACTATGTATATTTGTAGAACTTGGTTTAGGGCGAACTGCCCAAATAAGATTCTAGATGAGCCCTAGCACAACGAGAGTCCGATATCCGCATGAAGAGAATTCTGAGCATGTTGAAACTTGTGTAAGTTGCACCTCGGAGGTGAAGATCATGTAATCACATCACTATTATACTAATCAAATATGTATTTATGAATCACAAATGTGAGAGAAAACAAAGGTTAGATTGCTATATTAGACAAAAATGCAGTTCTTCCTCTGTACACAAGATAGTCAAATTTGTATGTATCCTAATGCATGACATATGCACATTGGAATATTCGAAGTTCTGGAGACCGGGAGGTAGCGAAAAATGCACATGACGCTCGTATCAAAGATCTCAAGCGCGATTCGAAGAAGTGAACGAAGAGATCTCGTGTTGCAAATGAACTCATTGCCTGTAGGCATTCACTAGATTGTGAGGTTGCAGTTAAAAGTTGAGAGACAAAAGTCAACGTGTTGACTTCCTCTTCTTCGGCAAATGCCGTTATGAATACAATGAGAGGAGAGGAATCCATGCCAACCCTTCAATCTGTCTCTCTGAACTTTCAGCACTCCATCTTACTTGCTCCTCGTCATTTCTAGTTCTCATATGATGAAACTGTCGGGTTTGCTGTCTAATTCGACAGTATTAGAACTAATTGGAGAACGGAGCAGCCTTAAGTTTTCCAGAAGCTGTCAAGCGTGCTGGAGGAAGCAAATCTGTTTGCGTTTGCGGTTCGCCTTCAGGATGTTAACGTCAGGAATTTTATAATGAGTTGCAAGACTAAACCTTGAGAAGGCCCTATCCGTAGGAAGGCGACCGTCGTCCAAAGCATGCGCGATGTCTGCTTAGTACGATAAAAACATCTGCTGAAACAAAACTACGTGGAGCAAAATTTTTGATCCACCGAGAGAAATTTTGCTCGCCGCACAGAGCAAAATTTTTGATTGGATATATGCAGTGACCAGTTTCCAAAAGGTTACGAGGCACAATTGAAGGTTACGTATTCGCCAATGTTACGTCAGAGGTAGAGTCACGTATAGCACAACTCACCTCCGAAAAAGTATACTATTGTCTCTTGAAGGTGAGTTGTGTACGTTTTGTTATCATTTGAGGCAATTGGACATTTCGCCAGCCCTCCGTCTCAGCGCTGCTGAGAGTTAAGGAACACAGTTTCACGTTCTGTCTGCATAAAGTTGTTGTGTCAGCAGGCATCGTCGTCTCGGTGGATGGTGGACGACAGTCGATACAGGCTTTGTTGTCTGGACGAGCACACGCCGATCATAAGGACATGCCGAGAGAAGAATGCTCAACACACGGAGCTAACCGGCCAAACATTTGTCCAACTTAGAAGGCTTCCTCCTGTCGACGCTGCTTTAACCAGAAAAGTGTCACAAGTGGCACTTTTCTGGTTAACGAGCTTCATTCGCCGGAAGATGTCTGGGCCAAATAGGAAGTCATTTGGATCTTGCACATCTTCCATGAACTCATCTCCCAATATTTTGGATCTCGCACGAATACCGACATTCACAAGTTTTGCGACTCTTTTTCCGAAACATGGCACTTTATCTATGATCCAGTAAGGCTTCAAACTTTTACAATAGAACAGGGTCGAGACATTATCTTATTGACATGTCCTTTGAAACATTACGAGAATAAATATTGTTCGACAAAGCGCACTTACATTTTGGTATGAATATACCAAAATGTAAGTAAACAAATAGAGAAATAATTATCAAAATTTTCTTTCTGTTGCCAAAGAACGATCAAGACGAGAAAATTCGAAGCTCCTCGCCCGCGGGTCTTTTCCTCGCGAAGATCAAATCGCTACGGGTATCTTGGATGAAAGCTAGGGATCACTAGAGAGAAATAGAGTTGAGTTCGAGCTTGCTACTTGCAAAATCCGTTAACCTTTCCTGGTCAAGGAGTCCTGACTGAGGATGGACCCATAGTTAACATACTGGGACTTTCGGAAATAGTTCAAATTTGTCAAATTCCTGCATGTTGATATCTGACTTTTGACGGCTTGAAATGTCTGGCCCCATAAAACATCCGCTGGAGTTTGTCGGTGCATTACATTGACCAAAGAGTGCGGAGCACCACCAGCCGTGCCGGCGAAGCACTTTCCGGTGCCACGATCTCATCAACTGCATCTCTTTATGGACGCAGTGCCTCCTCCGCTCATTCGGCAGCTGAATTTCGTTTTTCGATGTCAGGTCTTTCGCCTGAAGATAATTCGATGTATGGAATCAAACGACGACATAGTACAGAATGCTGGCAAGAGCATTCTGTACTAGCTCCGAGCAAACGAATGACCCTGATTCAAACTCGACCTCAGTTCACATGTAATTGGCACCTCAAGCACCACTGTGTTGAAGAAGTGTCACGACCCCATGTGCTGAACTTTGCCGATGGCATATCTCAGTGTAATAAGAATCTGCCAGCAAAGTGGGTTCCAAGATGCAGTCTATCTATGGCAGTTGCTTGCCATGTGGATCCTACATCTATCGGATGCATTGGAACAACATTTTGGTCTGCATGATACATCAGGAGCAGTTGGTCTAAAACCTATCGGAACGTAACCCGTCGGCGACATTCTTAAAACTAAGTCAGACGCGTCAAATCCTGAAATCTTGAAGGTATGACAAAATTTCTGGTTGATGAGCATCAGCTATTTCCGTTTTCATAACTTCTGTTATTCGTGAACCGTAAATTAACAGAGACTTGCAGTTTTCCAACCAACACCGATATTTGTCTCAATAACACTATTGGGGGTACGGTATATGTGCCATGTCCAAGTTGATGCGATGGGGCTCCTGAAAAACCAGTTGCCCGCGTACATGCATGCATGCAGAGCAATTCTGTCTATTCAGTCTACAGGGAGGAAAATGGGTCAAAAACTAGCGGAGAAACTGTCACATTTTGACATCTAACTGATTCCGTACTGAGAGCGAGAAATTCGCCCTTTTTTCAGTCGGATGAGTGTTACTGAGGTGTATGTTCAAGCTACATGATTGAGACCAAGGAGATATCTTGGTGCATAAATATCCTCTTGTGTTCACTGACTGCGTCCCATGACTGACGGTAAAGTCTGTGAAGGTATCCAGAAGATTGCACAGAATCCTTGGAGCATGTGCATGCTTGCTCCAGCTACTGGGCCTTCTCAACGATGTTCTGCCATGCCTGGTAAGGCGGTCCCCCAGCAATCAATGCCATCGAATCCTTTCAGACGGCTAGTCCAGTAACAAAAATTAAAGATTGCTTCTTCTCGTGCTGTTTACCGCCTGAAAGGAGTATTTCGCGTTCATCGCTTCCTGCACAGATCGATCGCTGACTCGACCTGAAGTGCGAAGTTTGTTTTTCTTATTCTCAAACTTCTATAATGGATGAACCAGTCGACTCGTTTCAAGAACGGAGTACGTGTTGGCGCGTCAGTACAGCTGTTATTAGAGTACTATGTTCACATATTTAGAGTGACATAGTAGATATTCGTGATATGATATGGCCTGAATTATCCGAGTTGTGGAGAGGATTTGTCTCGATTTTTATGTGAGTTTAGTATTTACGTCCAATAGAGTTTGCATGGATATTTTCAATTGTATGACGCTAGATATTCTTATGATGATATCAGAAAAGCATAAGTTTCTTGAAAAAACTTTTAGAAATCGATTAAAAATATTAAAACTTATCGTTGTGGAGATACTAGACAGATGGGAATATTCGAATGAAGAGTTTATGAGTTTAAATGAGGAAGATCAATTCATGACACCTCATTCGTAGATATTCGTGATATCTGTGCAAACTCCATTGGACTTTAATACGAAACTCACATAAAATCGAGACAAATCCACTCCACAACTCGGATAATTCAGGCCAAAGCTAACGGGACTTCATAACTGGTATACTGAAAACCACTCACCTTGCAAAAGTCTCAACACGAAGAAGTTTCAGTACTTCTAGTCTTCGCTGGCCTATACTCTCCAATGAAAATGAATACTAATTTAGAGTTAACTCAACTAGAGTTAATCCTAATCCGACATTAATCACTCACAACACATATAAACTAC